CATAGAAACATGGGATAATCACTGCTATTTACAAAGGAGGCAGTCGTTCCGACCCAGTTAACTATCGTTCAGTGACTATTGCTGGCGCGCAAATGTCTTGCCCGGACAAATTTGTCTACATCGTACAAGAGTAACATAGTTTTCATCTAAATCGATCGTTTACTAACTAGTTACTGTTAGCACGAGACGAGCCGAAACAGTGGATGTTGGCGTAGGAGTCGGTGTTGTGTGCCTCGATTTTCATAATGCATTCGACAGCTTAGACCATTGCATGCTTCTCGCCAAGCTTCGAGTATACGGCATTAGCGATTTTTCTAGATTTGATCACCAGCTTTCTCTTGCATAGGCGTCTTGAGGTGAATATGCGTGAATCCGTGCCAGATCTTCTCCACATCGATTGGGGTGTACTACAATCTTCGGTGTTGGAGCCCTCTGTTATTTGTCCTTCTTAACGATCTAGTGATTACGAACTGCTTGTTTTCTACCGACGACAAAGTTTGTTAGGTGATCAAAGTGCCAAACGACCGGGCACGGTTTGAAAGCCATCTTGCTAAGATTTATAGATGGTCAGTCCGGAGTTGCCTTCAATGCAACGTGATTAAATTTCGAGTTATCCATTAACGACACCACATCATCCGCACTTGTAAGCTGGGTGATCAGTATCTGCAGCATTGTTTTCAAGGTATTCATCCAGGAAGACCTCGGCTACGTGGAGCAGTCCCAATAGCATCAATGAGGCGCATCCAAAATTTTGGCATTTTCGGCGAGCTTTCGGTCGCTTCGATCCCTCTGTTTTCTCTCTATTGCTTTCTGCATATATAGGACCTCACGTCTTATATACATTTCAAGCATGGCAGTCATAACAGAAGCGGTATCTCGCTGTTTCGGGAATCCCGCAACGTTGTTCCAACGAAACATCAATGGGCTGTACCATTTGCCATGGAAACAGTGCCTGAGAGTGCATAGTTTTCATTGGACTCTGTCAGTGTTTGCGTGGCGACCTTAACATGGTTTATTAAGTTTTCTGCAACTCTCAACACTCATGCTATCACCTGCTTGAAGCTTGAGGACTTTGTGTTGCCTTTCATCATGTTCTTCCTGTGAGCGGCCGAAAACATAAATATCATACATGTAGGCAACCTGCCCATCGATACCCGCCAGGGCGTGAGTCATGAACTTTTGTCAGGCGGCGGGCGCGGAACTCAAACCCATGGGTAAGACTTTGTACTGAAATAGGCCATCAGGGGCAAGGAAGACAGTTAGGTGTTTGGAATCGCCGGCCAGTGGCATATGGAAAAATGCACTTTTCAAATCTAGCTTGAAAAAACGGTTGCACTAGCTAAACGTACAGTGAGTTCATCATTAGATGGCAAAACAAAGCGCTCTACGACGATCTGTTTGTTCAGCGCCTGCAAATCGTTGCATATCCGGACAGTACCGTCTTTTTTATGACACAAACCATTGGATGCACCCACTCAGAGCAATCAATGGGTCCAATCAGATCATTTGCTAGCATCGCTTGCAGTGTTGCTGAGACCGCTTCACGTTTCGCTAGCGGAATGGATCGAGGTTGACCAATGGCGACCGGTTTCGCATTCGGTTTCAGCTGAATTCGATGCACACCACATGGAATATGGCCGATAGACTTCTGGAAGAGCTTCGGATAATGTTCCTGCCAGTGTGCGACGTTGACGAAAGAGATAAGCATACGGTCGAATGGTGGTACGATGTGCAAAGCCAACATAGCATTCCTCCCTAGCAAGGGTCGTCTTTTGTCTGAAGAAATATACGCTGCGACATCGGCAATCACAGAATGCAACTGCAAGGGCACGATAATAAATCCCAATATGGTTAGTGTGTTCCCACTATAAATCCAAAATGAATGTGAGGTAGGATGTAAAGTATGCTGTGATAGGTAACGTTCATAAAATTGGAAAGACACGATAGTAACTGGAGAAGCAGAATCAAGTTCCATTTCAAGTGGAACAGCACCTTTAACAGTAAGGAACAATACAGTATGAATGTCAGCAGCGGGAAACTTCGGTTCAACAACGGATATCGTTACACAACATGAAGGTATGAAGTCAGCGGTGATTGAATAGATATTGTCTTGAGTTGAATCGGTAACATGGCATTCCGGTGTATCATCCTCTTTAATGAGCGCGACAGTCTGTGATCGACAACAGCGGGCATAGTGTCCAATTTTACCACAGTTTTTACATTTGAGGCTGCATGCGGGACAACCGACAAAATTAGCTCTGTGAGACGTGCTTCCACAACGATAGAAAGATAGTTTGTCTGTCGAACATTGCCGGAAACATTGTACTCTTGCCACTTCAGCTAAGCTGGTGGAACAAAACTGCTTCGATTGCAACGAAATTTCCGTCTTTACTCAGACTAATTCGCAAGCTCGATTCCACTTTAGTGTGCAAGCATCTTCCTGCAATAGCGCCTCACGTATGCGATTGTCAGCTATTCCAGTGATCAGTTGCTGAGTGAGCATACAGCCTTCAATCTTTTTCTGTGGAATAGACGAGTAGGCACACGGTCGTACTGCACGACTCTGCCGAGCAATGAAATCATTCAAGGGTTCGCCTGCTTCTTGGTGTATTCGGGAGAAAATATATCGCGCGGTAAACACGTTCATTTGGTAACTCTATGCACGATCGAGAGCATTGAAGGCATCTATAACCGATTTGCATCCCTGGAGACCCAAATCATCGAATTGCCGCTGTCCTCATCTCCGAGTAAATGTCGAAGCAGCTTCAATCTTTTATCCTCACTAAGAGCAGTAGAGAGATCGCTGATTAAATCTAAGTAGTTCAGGTAGAATGTTTTCCAACGGAACCAGGCATCCGATGTCGGTCTGCTGCCGCAATCAGTCCAAAAAGGAGATGGGGGTTGGATGGAAGGGTTCATTTTTGCCTCCGCGACGCCACAGATGCTGTATCAAGAAAGCCGCAGAACAGGTAAAAATGTATCCCGTAAAAAAACCAAGTACAACTGAGTCTCAATCCCTCGTTAAACGGAGAGTCAAACGACAGACACACGACCAATGGTAAGGTAGGAATGAGTCAGCAAGCCAGCCAATGAGATTGAGCCAATCGATATTGTTCACATGGTTACCACAGTCTTCTTTCCGTGCTTTTCAAATATTTGATCAGTAAGCTCACTGTTTATAGTTGTCTTTGGTTCCGTTTTGGAACTCCTGGTAGATTGTCCGGCTTTTTTAATTCACAATATACCATTTATCATTATGGTTGCCCAAGCCTAGACAGGGGAACGACTAAGGTTCTCGACCCGCCTTCGGTTCTATAACCTGGCCGGAAGACGTCGAGACTTTAGTAGTGGTCTACCGATAATAAGGAGCCACCCTCCCCAACACTCCCAAACTGGTGGGTCAGGAGACTGAGTTTGTTTGGTCTCTAGCCATATTCCTGTTGCTCCGAAGGTGCATGAAGCATCACCCAGCACCGTTCGTTGTGGCACACCATCCATCACACCACTTCAAGATCTAGTTTCGTCGCGAGGAAAAGAACGCATATGGTGTCATTAGGTCATAGGCTTTATATTAGTGATATGCTGACGATATGACGCTAATGATGAATTCGGATGCGAATATCGCACATGCAGTCATGACACTCAAGAATTCGCCCCCAAACCTTTCGTGTGGGTACTAAAATCGCCGCTTGTACCTGAATTTACTGATAACATGTCGACCGGATGGTTAGTGCAAAAGAGCAGTCTACCGTAAAGCTACCCACAAAATTCAATGTCTATTTTGTAACATCTCTGTGGTACTACACAGCTGCGCTCTCCTTCTGACGTTGTTTTATCGAACCCACATACTTTGCACCCCATATTTATGTAACGCTTCAGCGGCCTTATCATGAGAGATCGAACGCTCACAAAGAAGGAGATCTTTAATAAGCTACCGTGCAAAGATGACCACTTGAAATTTTGACCTCAAGAAAGTCGCCGTGCAACAGCTAACCACTTCACTGAAAAGGGCGTACATCGAGTTCGAACCGTTGATGTCCATCTCTTCAAAATTTTCTTCGTCTGTTCGGTTAAGACGCCGTCAGCGCGACAGTGCATGCCCCACTTCACCTGTAGTTGTGAAAACAGCCTTTGAGCTGACGGATGGAGGATTGGATATAAGTGCCGACGAACAAACTTCCATCTGGCTATGCAGACGGATTGGATCTGGAACGACAGAATCAGGTGAATCGAAAAACCGGGCTGCTGCGACAAACGAGGTCTTTTTGAACTGTGATCAGCAGGTCAGCCTCAATGAGTTATTCATGGTACCTGTGTGCAATCAATAGCCGCACATCCTCATGACACGGGGTGCCGTTGTAGTCGATCGAGAACTGCCGCCGCTCTGCGTGCGGAAGCAACTGACTGATTGAAATACCGCAAAAGCACGAAGCTCACCACACGACTACTGTTTGCCCCCCCCCCCCCCAAATCGATTCCATATGATCTTGTTCTTTCGAAATTGTTTAGACGCATGTTTGTAATTGATGAGACTACTCAACATGACTGAGTTATCTCACGACTTACGTTACCTGGAATTCTTATTATAGATCCATGGCATGCGACAAATAAATTACCGTTGCTTGGTTTACATGTTAAGACGTATGCGGGTTGTTTCATTCGTATTTTAGTTGTCATTTTGATTCCTACAATGGCTTTGGTGTTGCGCGTGGAATTCTCCTGTCGATTCCTTTATTCTTTTCAGTTTCCAACTGTTTTTGGTTCTTTAAGCGATTTTTAGCAATGCTGGTGGAGGCTTTCCTTTCACCAGCTTGTTCCTCATTTTCATGATTTACTAAGCGGCTTGCCAGCTCATCTCAACGTGACCACTGTATTGAAACGTATGATATACATCACCCACTTGATTTATGGTATGATGCAGAGAAATCATTATTTGTTATTTTTAGTCTCCATTCTAATTGGGTTTTTACTGATGCTTCATCGCTTTTATTTGCCTTTAGCTATTCACTAAAGAAGCAGAACAAGTCTAACTGGAAATGAAGAACACTCCACTACACGACCAGTTTGGCTTTTTATTTGTTTTGTATACCATGTTACCTCGACATTCCCTGCCATGTTTGTGACGTCCCGTTTCCTATGTGCATTTATCGTGTTTTGTACCTACCGCCGCTGTTCTACCGCCCTTGTCCCATCCCTCGAACTCGCATTCACCTTCGGAACATTTCCAACGTCTCATTGACAGTGGAGCTGCATGGATTATACTTGTGGACTGACTAGGTTCCGACTGTTGTGCTTACTTTATTCCGTGGTCTAATTTGCGTTCTTGGTCGGTGTTATGATAACTTGTAGGGCACCTTTTTATCCTAAGCTAGCACTGCACATTACCAAGCGTTACCGGGTTAAGTTCAGGTGTTCAATCATCTGACACGGAGGTACTGGGGACCCTACCATCACGCGCATCTCCACGATAAGAATGCCGAACTATACCTATTCTCCATTTGTTGAATCGTTCCTCGAAATGTTTGCATCGATCACGCTTGATGCTGCATCGTGTGACACGTTGCACGTGTGTACTCGTACGAGCCATACTCATAGACTGTGTTCGCGACGTGTGATCCCGTGATTGCCTTGTTACCGATTGCACTGGTACGGTGACTAAGGTAGTGGTGAAGTTAACTCCATAGACACGCCAAGTTGAGTGGAACCGTGCAGTTAGTGCAACGGCTTTCTCTACTCCGAATGTCACAAAAAGGCACTCGGCGGAGGCGAAGTATATACTATTTAAGACTTAGGAAGAGGGACGCGACTGGAAGCATGTTGCACACATATTGCACGTAAACCTGATTACCTGTCGCAGTTGGAATCAACCGGACAGACAGAGCAGCGTGTTGGGGGACGCCGAAGGTCTCTGACAGACAGTCAGATTGATTACCTGGTAGAATGGGTGTCAAAAGAACCCACGGTCACTCTACAAACACTGCGTCTGCGGTTGTAGATGGAGTTAAACATTAAGGTAAGCATGAGCAAACTTGCACGATGCATGGATGGACGGATAATTGCCATAAAGAAGTTGCGAGCAGTTCCGGAATCGGCCAACACACCTGAGAACAAAATGCGGAGAAAAGCTACGTTTTTGCACTGCTACAATCTGAGACCGAAGGAAGACAAGCCGTCTGGATAGATGCAACCAATTTCAATCTCTTTTGTTCTCGCACCATCGGGCTTTCGCCGTGTGGAACGCCTGCGCAATGTACACTGCCCAATACCTGCATATGGTTGGAGCGTTAACGGGCGATGGATTAATGGACTATATCATCATGAGAGGAAGCTACAAAAAGAAAAATGCGCGGCATGGTTGCCTCGACTGCTGGATACCAGAGGCTCGACTTTTATCGAAAACTGCCTCCTGATCTGTGATAACGCGCCATGCCACACGAAGTTGGAACGGGTATTGCAGAAGTAACCGTACCGTTCGGGCAGCCTCCTTCGTCCGGCGCCATATTCTCCATCACTGAATCCCATTGAGGGAATCTGGAGCACAATAAAGCGTTTGTGAAGCAAGCTATGAGGCGGCAGTATTCCGAGATGCTTCACAGAGATCCTGAGGGTGTACTATACAAGCACGAGTGGAGATTGCGCTCCTTGGAGGGAATTGTGTCCGAGGCACAAACTGCGTTACGCCCCAGCACTGCCAACAAATGATCGATCATATAAGAAGGAATTACGCTCGTGTTATTCATTACATGGGTTAGTAAAACTTTTTTTGCTGACGTAAGTGTCTGTGATTTGAAAAGGTGTCATCACTTGTATGTATTGCTAGTTCATAGGTTCGACATTCAGACTCAATGTTTTGGCGTGCAGTTTGCGCATGCTTCCTGTGTGGTATTGCGAGATAACCATAGAGTATCCTTATAGTTCAACAGCATCGGGACGGCAACTGCAGTGGTTCTACTGGTGGGAAACCTGAATGTCTGTCAATAGGTGATATATCATTGTACCGTGCGGAATGTAAGCGCATTACTATGAATGCTGACCACGTGCCTGCGGAACCTTACGTCTAAGCTTCGTGCGGCAGGTAATCACGTTTACGTTCGGTATGTGTGCAACATGCTTCCAGTCGCGTCCCTCTTCTTAAGTATTATGCACTTCACCTCCTCCGAGTGCCTTTTTGTGACATTCGGAGCAGAAAAAGCTGTTGCACTAACTGCACGGTTCCACTCAACTTGGCGTGTCTATGGAGTTAACTTCACCACTACGTTAGTCACCGTACCGGTGCAGTCGGTGGCAAGGCAATCACGGGATCTCACTTCGCGAACACAGTCCATTAGTATGGCTCATACGAGTGCACACATACAACGCGATGCAACTTCAAGCGTGATCGATGCAAACATTTCGGGGAACGATGCAACGAAATGAGAAAAGGTGCAAACGATTAGCGAAAATGGTATACTTGGGCTTTCCACCTTCGCCTACGGTTATTTGAAAAGCACCGAGTTCACAACGATGAAGCTAGACCACTTGTCCTTGAGAATCCTAGTTTGCGCTTTAAGATGCTGATTTCACTGCATCAGTAGAAACGGATCGGTCACATCGCGCGCTAGTAGTTACCGCGATTTGCTAAATTGGGCTGGAGACAACCGCGTGGCGGTCAGCTTTACACTTGACGACGGCACATGAAATCTCGGTCATCACGTTTAACTGTTGTTTAACCCTTCATTGTGGCGAATACAAGGATGGGGGTGCGAGTGTCTTGACACGTCTGAGGATGCAAATACCTGGTACATTTCTCGATCTTGCGAGGCACAGACCAATTTCGCAGATTGATCGTTTCGTACAAACTTACCGAATAGTGGAGTTGTTAGAATGTTTCAAGGGTCCCGATAGGGTGTTAGATGTGTCCTGTCATTCAAAAATAGTAAAAGTTGGGTTTTAGAGCAAGAATATATTTAGGTATAGCCGGCGTTTCAAATAAAGTACTACGGCCATACGTGGAACCGTCTCCTGGGGATCTGCTTCCACGTCTCATTTGCGGACGTGGCTTGCAAAAAGTAAGTCGTCATCATTCGGTTCATTTTTAACTTTTGTTATATGCAAGTAAGGCAGTCATCAGGTTGAAGCTTTTGAACACCGTTATATGCAATAGGGCCATCATCACGTTGACCCGTTTTCGGGTACTGTTACATGCTAGACACTGCCACCATACAGGCCATCTCACAAATCAAACACTTTTCTATTCGCCTTACGTAGGTATGCTGTGCCATTCTACAGGCAGGTTACCGCATTGTACCAAACTTTTAGCATGCAACTTTTCGAAATCGCGTGCTGTGCATTCAAGTTTGGCATCGGTGACACTCTCATTGGTCATGGGACGTTAGCCAATGGGACACTGGGTAGAAGCCCCGAGCATAAGTGACAGATAGTGCAATGAAAGTGGTCGAGCGCCACCATCTGTGCTGCCCTAATGCGCGTCTGAAGGAAACCAAGATAATTTTATCCAAACTGGAACCGTCCAATGGACAACTTGTGATGACTGTCTAAGGACGAGATCCTAGCTACCACTGCCGTAACTAGTCCGGACGGACAGGCAAACCACCACATGAAGCGGTCTTTACTTATTGATCGCTAACCATTACCTGCTGGTGGCTTATTTCAGCGGCCTAAACATGGTTACGATGGTGGAGTAGACACATTCTTCTAACTGGTATTCCGCAGTCCCTTAGGTCTGAGGGAGTTGGCCACGCCTGCAGTTGCGGTTGGTCAAGCATGCGCCGTGGCTAGGACACTGCGCACCCTCAGCTGAATCAACAATGGCCACTAGGCGGTTGGACGATTCTGTGCGATTGTTATTGCGACGACCATGGGGACATTGTTTCCATTGAAGTAAGTAGACCAACCTGAAGATTAACAACGAATGTTCTATGGGTGCTTACTTCTATCACAGTTGATGACTAAACCCAAACATGACCAACGCTATTGTAGCCTCAAAGCGGGCTTGCACCAAATCATTAGTTCTTATTAGGTAGCGTGGTGTACAAAGTGGTACACACGGCCTGGAGCTCCTCTGTCCTTGGAAACGTTCGATGTCCCGAAGTTAACCTTAACCTGCGTAGCTACTTTCTACTTCAACCTATTATCCTCTTAAGGCAATGGTCTTAACAACCAATCCATCGCGCCACACTATTGGCACAAGTTGCCAGCGCAACAATTTTGTGGCTACTTCATTCTACACTGCGAGACCAGTGGTTCTTAGTCCACGGCCTTATTCCAACAATTGTACTTGATTGCGGCGGGGAATGGGAAAACTGTTGCAAACGAGATTAGACAAGCCTAGGACTTCTGTACAAATGCAAATTTCGCAGCCGTTCGAGTTTTAGAGCCCGCCTGTTGTGATCTTCCAGTGCGTTGTAGGCTGCTGTGAATAGTGTAGCTGCGTAATGCTGATCTAGTCGTTGCGTTGTGTGCTGATTGCAAGTTCCCAGGTTGAATAACAGCGTCCTTGGATTTGTAGACATTGTTCTAACTAGGAGGATTCCTAGTGGGGCAGTGACACGACATTAGTGACTGTTCGTTTGTCTCCACACCCATGAACGACTTTGGTAATCAGTTATCGTTTCAGTGTCCACAAGCATGGCGTTATTTAAAGGTCGTGGGAAGGATGTGGAACCTATGTATACATTGGATAACTAGGCTTCGCTTCCATATGGTTACCCATAGGTGTGGAGACTCTTTGACGGTGACGGGATTCGTTGAGTCATGACCGTATTATGAAAAGTGCAGCGATTGAAGCACTAGAGTTCTCGATACGGCCTTTCAAAGGCAAGTGTGGTAGAGCCAAGCCTAATTGTCCCCTAATGCGATGCACTTTTCAACGGGTCTTTCAGGCATAGGTACTCCACCAGTGCTCCGCACCAGCGTATAAGCCGCAATTGACTCTCCGAATGGCACCATTGCATGCATAGTAGATGTGTAGGACTAGTTAATACTAGTCCGATATGGTGCGCGAAATAAAGCGCGGATATCAGAAGGCAATTAGAGTCGGACACAGCGGACTGTATTCGATGGGCTACAAGAAAACGCGGACGGATGAAGCGAGACAAGAGCGAACACGTGAGCGCGGGAACTTACAAGGCGGTCGAGTGTCGAGCCGGTTGTAAGGAAGATTAAAACAAGTAGGAATAATGCACAATCGGTCAACAATTAAATTGTACATGAAGGATAGCAGTTCTCTTTTTGGGCGCTACAAATGCAGATGGAACCTCCCTAATACTTCCAATTAACTGGAATACGGTCCTCATGGAATCGGCATCACCCATCAAAAACACTTAAAGTGGCTACAAAGACTACCGTAATTATAAATGCCACAGCGTCCTGCAAGGAAAAATGCAAAGGAC